TTGAGACAGGGTGTCTCTGTACCTTTTGGAGCCTGTCCTGGAACTCACTCTGTAGACCAGGCTGGCCTTGAACTCACAGAGTTCTAATTGTCTCTGCCTCCCGAGTGCTGGGATTAAAGGTGTGTGCCACCAGCTTGGCTAGTTAGGATTTTTATTGCTGTGAAGAGACACCATGGCCCCTACAACTCTCATAAAGGAAAACATTTAACTGGGGCTAGCTTACAGTTTCAGAGGCTTAGTCCATTATCATCATGGTGGAATATGGCAGCGTGCAGGCAGACATGATGCTGGAGAAGGAGCTGAGAGTTTTACATCTTGACCCACAAGCAGCAGCAGGAGACTGTGTCCCACACTGGGTGTAGCTTGAGCATAGGAGGAGACCCTTAAAGCCTGCCCCCACCCACAGTGACACACTTCCTCCAACAAGGCCACACCTACTCCAGCAAAGCCACACCTCCTAATAATGCCACTCTCAATGAGCCTTTGGGGCCATTTTCTTTCAAACCACCACACACAATTGTTTATAATGCCACCTGAGTTTTGCTTTGCCTGAGGGCCACAGTCACCTGCCTGGTGGAACATCCCATAGACCTACGACAAATCTCTTGTCTCCAGGGTCAGCCTGGTTCAGATCAGAGCCATTTCCGAGCCAGGCTACCTCACCAGAAGGTTAGGGTGTTTAGCACCTTGCAGGAAAGTGGCACAAAGGCCTTGGAGTCTCTGCTCCCCTGGGCATTGTCCACACTGTCTAGATCAGAAGCAGATAGCCATGATCTCCTGCCCAGGCAACACTGTCTAGCAACTCCCACCCAGGTCTAATGCAGAACAGAGCAAGAGCCCCAGGCAGGGTGGGTGGACCTGACATCCCAAGGGCACATGAGCCTGGAACATAGGTGTCCCCAAAAGCCAACTCATCCTGGGGAGAGGCCTGGGGCAGCAGTCAAAGGCCAGCTCCAGCTTCCTCTAACACTCTTGGTAAAAACACAGGTTGTCTTGCATGGACATTCCAGTTCATTTTCTTCTTTGCTAGAGTTTGAGTGTTGGGTAGATGACATTTAAAACCCAAAGAACTTGATCTATCGCCCTGTGTCCCTCGGCCTCTGTGGGCTCATCAATCACAGTTCCCCTCCTCAGCTACTGGCTACCACTGCCCAGGAGGCTATGCCTGGACTCAGATGGAGACCAGTCAGCTCATAAACAGCCAAATCAAGCCGGCAAGCACGGGCACTCCACCTCTGCCTCCCTCCCACCTCTCACCCCTTCCTCTGCCTCCTCTCATTGCGTCTTCCCTTCTCTCCTGGCTGGCCAGAGCAGCACAGGGATCTCTCCATCATAACTTTCCCTCAATTTACTCAAGCTCCAGACCTGAGGGCCTTGTCCTTTCCCAGGCTTGGGCCCTCAGATGGCCACCTTTCCTGTCTTTTCTGTTTTGACAGCTTGCAGGCTACTCTGGAAAGGATAATGTCCTAGGGAGCATCTGGGTACCAATCAGCAGGACCGCTGGTCACCCCAGGTCCAGACTCCCTGCCAGCACTTTCTTCTTAACACATGTGTTTTCCTTATTTAAAACAGGACAGGAGGCTAAAAGTTCCCTGAAGAGGAAAAATTACCATGTTAGCTGGCAATCCAGGAGGGCATTGTGGGTGAGCAGGGCCCAGGTCAGTGATGGGTAAGCTGGCAGGGTCCTGCATGCCCCAGTAGGAATTCTCCAGCAGAGTTTTCAGTTTGTGCTGGAGATGACAGGAAGGTCTCAGTGGAGGTCCGTTCCTGCTCCCAGCTAGACGTGAGGGCAGGTAGACCATAGATAGGCCGGCCACTGCAGCTGTGGGCCAAAGGAGGACAGAGCCAGGGGACTCTGTGAAGGTGGCTCTGCCCTACCCCAATAGCCTCACCTCTCCTGATTCCCAAAGAGACAGAGACTTGGACGCTAGACTTGGGGTCACTCATGTTGGAGGGTGACATGTCACCTCCATTATCAGCTTGTTACAGGCAGCATCTCTAGAGGATGGCAGAGTGCGTGTCTGTATGCGTTGTGTGTTTTGTGTGCATCATAGATGGTGTATGTGGTATGTGCATATAAACATTGTGTTGTTTGACATGGTGTATGTATTTGAGGTGAATGTGTGAGGTAACTTTTAATGCATTTGTTGTGTGATGTGGAATGTATGGTAGGATACGTGTTTGTGGTGTGTGCGTGGTGCATTTGATATATGTGGTGTGTTTGGTGTGTGTGCACTATCACTGAACTGTAACCAACTTTTTCAGTGCTGGTCCAAAGAGGCCCTGAGGCCAGATCTAGCAGGTGCCAAGACTCTAGGATAGTGACTGTCACAGAGATGCTGGTTATTCATCCAAGTTTTTCCAGGACCGTGGTTCTTGTTACAAGTGGTCTTCTGGAAGCTCCCGCTTTAGGACTTTGTTCTTCTCCAGCTGGTAGGGACATCTGGGATCTATGAGGTCCCTCTGGGTGAGGACACATGTTCTCAGACCTCACCAGGTTACCTCCCTGATGTTGGCTCTGGCATTGCTCAAGCTAGAGCACAGCCACCCCATCCTGTACTCTAAAACAGTCTCCGAGGGGAGGAGGGGGCGTGGTCCTCTCCGGAGATGGTACCCAGCCCTTCAGTTGTGTGCTGACTCAGGGTCACAGTGCCCTAAGTGGGCATATTCTGTCACAAAAACTCCCTTCTCTGTGTCATCTGAGCATGAGAGAATGAAGAAGCCTCCCAGAGAAGCAAGAGAGGGCCACCCTTGCCCAGGACTGAGGCCACAACAGGAATGAGTGTCAAGTATGGATGGTAGGAACTTGGACCCAGCTCTGAGCTCTTAGAGACAAGGCCAGGAATTGGACTTTGTCAAGAAAGAAGGGGCTTTTTCTAAAGTTGGAGCCCAGCATCAGAGAGACAGCAGCGTTTGGGGCAAAGGAGAGGGGCAGCAGGAGTCTCCAGCCCGGGTTAGGGTACTCTCTGTCCTGCCACCCACATGCTCCTCCAGTGACTTAATTCATTAGCCAATTACTGGTTTTGTTTTGCAGAGCTGGTGGTGAACCTAGGGCCTCTCACATGCTAAGCAGTGTTCTAACACTGAGCTATATTTCCAGTCCTTTAAAAAATGTTCTTGCTGGCGGTGGTGGCGCACGCCTTTAATCCCAGCACTTGGGAGGCAGAGGAAGGTGGGGCTCTGGGAGTTCAAGGCCAGCCTGGTCTACATAGTGAGTTTGAGGCCAGCCAGGGCTGCATAGTGAGACACTATCCCCCCCAATTTTTTTTTTTTAATTTAGAGATTTGTCTTATATATGTAGCACAGGCTGACCTCAAGGCTCCTCAACTCCTGGGATTACAGGTCCAACCCCTTCGGGTGTGCGTGTGCATGTGTGTGAGTGTATTCCTCCAATGTGGTGTGTGTGTGTGTGTGTGTGGTGTGTATGGTGTGTGGTGTGTGTGTGTATGTGTGTGTGGTGTGTATGGTGTGTGTGTATGTGTGGTGTCTATGGTGTGTGTGTGTGTTTGTGTATGTGTGGTGTGTATGGTGTATGGTGTGTGTGTGTGTATTTGTGTGTGAGTGGTGTGTATGGTGTGTGTGTGTGTGTGTGGTGTGTATGGGGTGTGTGTGTGTGGTGTGTATGGTGTGTGTGTATGTGTGGTGTCTATGGTGTGTGTGTGTATGTGTATGTGTGGTGTGTATGGTGTGTGGTGTGTGTATGTGTGTGTGTGGTGTGTATGGGGTGTGTGTGTGGTGTGTATGGGGTGTGTGTGTGTGGTGTGTATGGGGTGTGTGTGTGGTGTGTATGGGGTGTGTGTGGTGTGTATGGTGTGTGTGTGGTGTGTAGTGTGTGGTGTGTATGGTGTGTGTGTGTGGTGTGTATGGTGTGTGTGTGTGTGTGTGTGTTCATGTATGTGCCCATGTGTATCCCTCTTTTTTTTTTTAGTAGCAAAATAAATCTACTATCTTAGCCATGGCAAAGCACTGTAGCCAGCCACCAGAATCTGCTTCTGGAACATTGTATCACCCCAGAGACCTGCACTCCATATCCTGCCACGTGAGTGTATCTGACCTTCAGCAAGAGTACCAGCAGACCAAAGTGCTGTCCCAGCCTCTGACCATCACCGTAAAGGGTGTGAGCAGGCCTTGTCTGACCATTGTGGGAGGAAGGGTGAGCCAAGGAAAAGATGTCCCAAGGGTGGCACTTGGGACAGGGAAACAGTTTGTCCAGGAGCAGTGAAGCCAAGGCCTCATTGCTGTGAGTATGAAGCACATGTGGGTTTTGATGGCCTCATCCAGGAACTGCAGCCTGCAGGGCCTCCTTTCTGAACCCGAGCTTCACTGCTAGCTGGGCAGCTTCTCTTCCTAGATGGCACATCCCACCCCAGAATCTCTTACCCCCTCAGTCATCCGCCCTCCTCCCCACCCTAAACAAAGGCAAAGGCTTGGAAAGCAGACACACCCTCACCAAACACTCGGGCACCTCATGCTAGGGATCCCCTAAGTCCAGGACCACCCCCATCCCGACTTCATCCCAAGCACTGAGGCAGGGCAGACTGCAGAGTACAGTTTATTGTTCCATGTTCATACAGAAACAAGAAGCTACCACGGGGTAAGGGTAGGGAAGGGATGGGAGAAGGGTAGAGATTGGCTACAGGCCCTTTATCAACCAGTGGGGCAGGGCCCTCAAGGCTGGAAGAGCTTACAGCTACAGATCAGGTTCACAGCCCGGCACTAGCTGCTCTGGGTAAGTGGACCTTAGATGCCTCAACTCACCAGGGTCTGGTCCACAGCTTCTGAAGAGTCTGAGAGATAGGTTTGAAGAAGTGTGTTGGCACTGTAGGGAAAGGTGCTGGTAGGGTCGAAGTGAGCAACAGTGAAGAAAGGACGGGGAACTTTCCGGAAGAGAGTTGTGGAGACAGACACGATAGTTAGGTTTGAACAGGGGATTCTGGGTATGGGCTCCCGAGTGGCCTAGCTTTGGGTCCTTTCCTCTCCTCCCCCCACCCTCCCCAGGCTCACACAAAGGCTCTACTAGGGGGAACTGGGGACAGCATGAAGGTCTCTGTGGTCTGCTGGCTGCTGGAGGACAGCGAGCGGCCAGAGTTCTGTTGGAGGAGGTGGACTCGGCTGAGCAGGAAGCTGCCAGCACTCCCTGGGCCACGGCAGCTACTACCCAGCGACCGCTGGCGCCCACGAAGGTACTCGCGATAGTTCTTGGTGAGCAGTGTATAAAGGAAGGGGTTGATGCAACTGTTGCCATAAGTGAGGCAAGTGGTCAGGTAGTTGACAATGCGTGCAGTCTGTGGTGCCAGTGGCGTGGTCTTGTGGTACTGGGCCAGCAGCTGCCACAGCCAGAAGGGTAGAAAGCAGGCCCAGAAGAGAAGGACAATGCCAAAGATGAGGTACAGCACCCTGGGGTTGGGCAGCCGCCGCGTCTGCTTGAAAGAGGCTTGCTGAGATAGCCAATAGGCCCTGGCCAGGCGGACATAGAGCAGCCCAATGACCAGGCCAGGCCCCACAATGCTGGTCCCAAAGAGCAGTGTCAGGTAAATACGGTGCGCATGAGGGCCCCAGGCTGGCAGGCAGAGGCTCTTGGGGCCCTTATGCACCAGTCGGATGGCAAGCATCATGGGTAAGGTCAGCAGCAGTGCTAACAACCAGGTGCCCAGCGCCAGCAGCTTACGATAACCCTTGGAGCGCTGTACCGCATCCAGAGGCCTCAGTACAGCTGCATAGCGCTCGCTGCTCATTATGGTCAGGGTGAAGATGCTGGCATGCATGGTCAGGAAGTCCAGGCTAAAGAGAACACGGCAGCCCACATCTCCAAAGTGCCAGTCCTTAGTGACATAGGTGGCTACGATGAAGGGAATGCTCAGAAGGTACAGCAGGTCAGCCAGGGCCAGGTTGACCACATAGACATACATGGAGGCCGAGGCACGCAGGAATCGGCACATGACCACCAACGTGTACACATTTCCCACCATGCCCACCACACCCATGGCTGAAAGCACTGCCCCAATGGCACCCGTAGCCACCAAGTCTTGCAGGGAGCTGTGATCTGTTGGGCCAATCCAGGAACTGTTGAGGGACACATTGGGGCCACCAGGCAACTCAGACACAGTGTTTCCTGACATGGCCAGTAGGGGAAAGCTGGTTGTAGATTCCAGGCTCAGCGCCATCTCTGTCCTCACACTGGGCTTCTGGTGGGGGTCCCACTGCTCAGTGAGGAGGGCCTGTAGGAAATGTGTCCTGTGAGAGAAGATTAGTGTAAGAGGTACAAGGCAGCCACCTACTTCCATGCCTAGCAGCCTCTGCAATGGACACAGTCACTGTCCCTCTGTAAGAGACATGGGCTCCCCAAGTTCTGCCCCATTGAAACCCTCAAAAGAACTCCTTTTGTGTCATCTCCCCAGCTATACAGGGAGACCCTAGAGCCATCAGGACCCACTGTCCCCAGGATACTCACCAGCAGGGCCCCAGTCCCACCCCAATGCAAACATAAGACCTTTGCTTTTCTGAAAAGCTAGTTACAGCAAGGCAAGACGCCAGCAGTGGATAGAGACAAGAGTCCCAAGTTCTAGCTCTTAACCTAAGAGTCCTGTTTCTCATTTTACGTCACTGTATGCTTTAAAAAAGATGATTTCTTCCAGTCACAAAAATAACAGCCACTGAGCTTAAAAGTTCCAATAGAAAAGTAGGTAAAGGCCTTTGGATTTTCATTTATAATATGAAGAAAAGGGGCCTGGGTCCCTGCCTCACATGGCATACACAGTGGTGGAGGGAGGGCAGTCAATCAAAAACCTTGGGAAGAAAACATTATGGGCCACAACAGGAATGTATTTTTTTTTTCTGAAAGAAAAAAAAAACTTTAAATTACATTCTTGCATGGTGTGCATGTGTGAGTGGGTGTGTACATATGTGAATGCCACAGTGTTCATACAGAGGTTAGGACACCTCTGGGATTGATTCTTTACTTTTCCCTGCAGATCTCCAGGCTCTAACTCAAGACACCCATCTTGGAGGCAAGCACTCTAACCACTGAGCCATCTCACCACTGCCCAGAAAATGATTTAAAAAAACAAAAACAAAGGCTCATTTTATAGCCATGGCTGGCCTGGAACTCTCTATGTAGATCAGAATGGCCTTGAACTCACAGAGATCCACCTGCTTCTGCCTCCTAAGTGTGCCACCGTGCCTGAATTTTATTTTTTAAAGAAGAGTACACCCCCCAGACCTCTTTCAGATTTATTTGTTTTATATGTATGAGTGTTTTGACTTTACAAATGTATGTGCACCGGATACAAACCTGTCATTCCCAGGGGCCAGAAAAGAATATCAGATACCTTGATACTGGAGTAACAGATAGTTGTGAACCACCATGTGGCTGCTGCAAACCACACTCAAGTCCTCTGCAAGAACATGGAATGATCTCTATAACCCAGGAAAAGATTACTTTAAAAACAAACTTAATTGGGGCTGGAGAGATCATTTGCTGTTCTTGAAGAGGAACTGAGTTGGATTCCCAGCACCCACATGGCAGCTGTCTTAGTTAGGGTTCTATTGCTGTGACGAGACATCATAGCCATAACAATTCTTTTTTTTTTTTTCCCCGAGGCAGGGTTTCTCTGTGGCTTTGGAGGCTGTCCTGGAACTAGCTCTTGTAGACCAGGCTGGTCTCGAACTCACAGAGATCCCCCTGCCTCTGCCTCCCGAGTGCTGGGGTTAAAGGCGTACGCCACCACCGCCAGGCTCATAGCCATACCAATTCTTATAAAGGAAAATATTTGATTGGGGTATGATTACAATTCAGAGATTTAATCCTTTATCATTATGGCAAGAAGCAGAGTGGCATGCAGGCAGAGATGGCTCTGGGGGCAATAACTGAGAGTCCTACATCTGGATCAGCAGGCAGCAGGAACAGAATAAAAACACGAGGCCTGGTTTGAGCTTCTGAGATGTCAAAGTCCAGCCCCAAGGATGTGCTTCCTCCAACAAGGCTATACCTCCCAATACTGCCAGTCCCTATGAGCCTATAGGGCTGTTTTTATTTAAACTACTACAGCCACTAATAACCATCTGTAACTCCAGCTCCAGGGAATCTGATTCCCTCTTCTGAACTACTCAGGCACCAGGCACATATACATATATGCAAACAAAAACATTCATATACATAAATAAAATCCAGTCTTTAAAAAAACACACAAAGCCCCAAACTTCATCAAAATTAAGAACTTCATTAAACAAAAGTGAGATGAGAAAATATACATCCGATCAATGGAGTAGTGAACACAATAATGCAAGAACTGTAAACCATAAAGAAAAGAGTAACTAGCTATTCGTGGGGGGAGGGGGAGGAAAACTGAGCAGGAATGTCTGAAAGAAAATACCCCAAAGGCCACAAACTAGTGAAAAGATGTTCTACACAGTTTGTTACCATCAGAGAAATGCAAATCAAAACCAAAGAAACTCTAAAAAGCACACACACACACACACACACACACACACACACACACACTCTCTCTCTCTCTCTCTCTCTCTCTCTCTCTCTCTCTCTC